ATTTTTAATTTTTTTGAATTAACGAAATTAAAAAAAATATATTAAAATTTGAATTATAAACTACATTGTGATGATATTCTTCCAGTAGTAGTTCTAGATTTGTTATAGGGGCTTCTATTTCAAGCTTGTCAGCTTCATTGTTTAGCTTTAACCCCCCCACATGGCCTGATATATTCATTTAGATGATGGTCTTACCATGCAGTTGCTTTGTTTTCTGACGTTCATCTTGGGACCAACTACTATGAATTTTATGAAGTACTTTCTGTAATTAATTTGCAAATATTATGTTGGTGGTACTGTATGTATATTTGCAATTCATTGTCTTCAACAATCCAGCTCCATCCTTGTGCTGCGTGTGAGAAGCTTATTCCACCAGCTTTATGCAGAATGTTGTTGCTATAGATGCCAATAGGCTTTTTGTACTTCACCCTCTCTACATTTTCTGTCTAGGCTGATATCTACAAATCCCAGTTGTGGTACCAGATGTTTATCACACAAAGAGTTGTCTGAGAGCTAGTGATGACTAGTTATCTTAGTAGCACCTGCTCAACCATAACTGTTTACTGAGGTGCTCTTTTAGACAGTCCTCTGTTTGGTTGGAATCTGTATGGCTGTTATAAAGCTGGAATGTCCCAACAGAAAAGTGCATTGGCTCAATAATAGAATGCATGGTCTTTACACTGCAAGGTTAATATGCTACTAACCACTTCAAGACCACTAAAAACCTGTCAACTTAGGTTTTAAAATTAAGCATAATACCAGTTAAATTAATGTTTTGCACCCATTTTTACCCTTAACTGATTATTGATCGAGTGATATTTGTTGTATACCTACAGGCTGTGCAATAAATTGTTAGTTTAATGTGTCATATATTTTCAGGTATTAGCTATAGTTGAAACTGTTTAGTAAGTTTACCAGTAACAATACAGATAAATGGTTAGGAATTAGATGAGAGAGTGAGTGTTATCATATACAAAAACAAAAACAACTTGGAAACCAATGTATTGAAGTATTTTTCATTATCATATTTTGTTACATTTCAGAAACGTCAGACCCCCAATCCCTCAGACTCGTGGAATTCTAGTTGAAGATAGGTTTGTTTATAGTAAGTTCAATACCACCGGTTAACATGATGTAACCTTATACAGAAGCTATAAAGCCAAATAAGTAGTGTGTACTGAATAATATTTGCTTACAAATGTAAGTTAGAACATTTTTTAGTCATTATATTTGCGCCATGTGGATCAGAATATCATCTTTTTTAAATGAAAATTGTTTGTAGAAATCTGTGAATATTTTTTATAGTAGAAGCTCTGAAGGTGTACTATAATAACCACTATCATTCCACTAGTTAGTTCTATGCTATACATATGAAATTTTCAGTTTGATCAACAAGCTATGCTTTTGTATGTTTAAAGACCAACTAAAACAAATAAATGGGAGGCACACTTAGGTTTTGGAAATTATACACTGCAAATGCATAATAGTGGATGATGTTATATATTATAATTTTTAACTCGCAATACTTTAGAATTAATATTTTTGTTATTTTACGACATTTATATAGTGTATATTCCAAAACAATAAAATAAATAAAAGTTTCATTTTTGCACATTCCTAAAGTAGCATTTTATATTTTCTAAGAAACTATCATTCAGTGAGAATATAATTATCCATGTTGCCATGTTTTATGTAATTTTTTTGTCATGTGATTTTTCTTCTGTGTTACTGATTTTATTAGTACAGGTTTTGCCCTTACCATTTTAATGTAACAAACAATTACTAATGAAGTAAGGTTTGATTAGTAAATTGACCCCCTGTGTGACAGCGGTAAGTCTTTGGGTCTATAATGGTCAAATCAGGAGTTCGATTTCCCTTGGTGGACACAGCAGATAGCTCAATGTGGCTTTGCTGTAAGAAAAATACGCTTTGTAAATCGGGGATGAGAAATTAAAAGAAATAGTTAAATTCTTTGTTTTTGTTTTTTTAAAAAAAGAGATAACTCAAGGTTATAGAAGATAATTATGGAATTTAATAAATTTTATCCTTACACTTTGAAATAAGTGAGTAGTTTACATGTTTCGTTATTATTTATTTCAGCAGAATTATAATGTGTTCATTTAGTGTTATTTTGTTCAAAGTCTTAGCATTTGACTATTCAAATGAATGTTGCTGTGGTTTGTGTAAACATCACAACAATTTAACTGTCACTTTATGATTATTTAGCTTATATTTTCAAGCTGTTAAGTAACACCAGTATATTTCAGTTGAATTAAGGATTATATGATTAATAGATTAAATTACTCGTAGATTTATATAACATTTCATATTTTATATCATACCATTATTCACATTTATCAGTTGGGTTATTTTATATAAATCTGAGATGATTTTTGCTACAAAGTAGACACTATGCCAATTGGGTATCACCATGGTTGTTTGCAAATAATGAGCAAAAGGCTTTATTTGAAATGTAGATAAAACAGTTAAAGTGCTTTTTGTCATCTTCAGTTGTACGTGTGAAAATACTTGATAAATTTCAATGATTACTATACTAAAGATAGTTAAAGTGCTTGTTATAATCTTTTGGTATGCTTACAGTTCTTGCAGGTGAAAACACTATTTTGTCAGTCTGTTGTGATGGTCTATCACACATTAATCCATATGTACTTCACCTTATTTTTTTTTCCTGTTTTAATTTCTGTATCATTAGTAAAATCATGTTATATTCTGGCAATTTGAGTATATTTATATTGTATGTCACTTTTCAACACTGCTATGGAAAATTATTATATTTAAAACCTGACTAACATTTAAAAATATGTTTCAACCAAATTTAGATATAAAATAATGATAATTTTAGTGAACTGTTACAAAAATTTCTATGTTTTGTGAATTTAGTGTCGTGCAAAAGAGAAAACTTTGAACTGCTTAACAAATAAGTCCCCCCCCCCCCCAACCCCCAAATAAGTGATATAACTTGTTTATTAAGTGTATAGTTTTTCAGGGTTAAAAAAAAAATAACTGGAAGTACTTTTCACAATTTCATTTTAATCCTTTATCATCTCTTCCCATATATTTACACATGCTAGACATCATCTCCACCTATATATTTATCTATGCTAGATGTCATCTCCATCCATATATATATATATATGCCAAATGTCTCGTGTGCTAGATAAGTGCCTTGCACCAGATTTGTTGTGGTCAAAGCATTGCTGGGGTGATGGGGAAAAAAACTTTCATGGATGATAAAGGGTTTCTAAAGAATTGTGTTGATACAGAAACCTGTACTTAAATCTATTAGTCTGAATAGTTTCAAAATAGAGTATCATTTATAAATTGACTGTCTTGTCACTTTAGTGCTCAGAGTTGTACATGTCTGTTGAAACTGAATGTCCATATTTGAATGTATTACAGACTTTAGACCAAGAAGAACACATTCGCTATCAGTTTTTGATGCTTTTAGAGATTTCCAGAGTGAGGCCAGTAAGTAACAATAGCACAAATAATTGTTGTTAAACATGCATCACTTATGTACAGGGTAGTCCAAAATTATCTTTTCTATTGTAAAATTTAATAATTAAGCAATTAAACCATACTGCTGTGCAGTTTTCAGTGTATTGTAGCCCATTCCAAACAGTTTTTATTGTATTGTTTTGTTTTGTTTTTTGCTCCAGTAAGTAATGCTACCCTGTAAAATGGCAACCGTGAAAGAAAAAAGCTTAGTGCCTTGTTTGGCTTGCAGAGACTAAGTAAGTGACTGTGATGCAGTGTAATTACAGATGTCAATACAGAAAAGAACCACCATCAAAACCATCTTTCTGGGAATGGATGAAGAATCTCTTAGAGACAAGCAGTGTGTTACAGCAACTGGGAGCTGAAAGACCCTCTGTCAGGGATGAATGTATCAAACAAGTACGTAAATCATTTCAGCATAGCCCACGAAAATCGATTTGGCATACTTCATGAGAACTTAACATGCCAAAAACATCTCTGTTCTGTGTCATTCACGAAAGACTTCATCTGCATACCTACGAACTTCAGTTGGTACAGGCACTGCAACCAGATGGCAGATCACAGTGCAAGACATCTGCAGTGAACCTCCTTGATCGCATAGATGAAGACAACACATTTCTAGCTCGTGTACTGTGTAGCAATGAGGCTACATTTCTTGCTTCAGGTAAAGTGATTCATCATAATGTCCATATTTGGGGCTCGGAAAATCCCCATGATACCAATGAAATTGTGCAATACAACTCAAAGGTGAATGTGTAGTGTGGTCTCATGTGTGACAGGTTTATTGGTCCTTTCTTTTTTGCTGAGAGCACTGTTACTGGGAGCATGAACCTTGACATGCTGGAACAATTTGGGGTCACACAACTGGAGGAAATGCAACCATGGATAATCTTTGAACAGGATGGTGCTCCACCTCACTGGAGATTACTGGTCAGACCGGATCGTACATTTCTGAGGTAATGGATTGGTCCGGGTGGGCCAATTCCTTGTCCTTTGCATTTTCCAGACATCACTCTACTAGACTTCTTTGTTTGGGACATTGTGTATTGCACATCTATTGCAAACATCATGGAGCTAAAGACCAGGATAACAGATGCCACTGTAACTGTGGGCATGTTTCAGCGAATGTGGATTGAAATCGAATATCGGACGTGCTGAGAGCCACTAATGGTGCACACATAGAAGTCTACTGACATGACAATTAAAACTGTTTGAGTTGGGCTACAAGATGCTGAGAACTACATGACTGTATTTCTTTAGTTATTTAATTATTAAACTTTGAAATAGGAAAGATAATTTTAGACCACCTGGTATTTTATTTTGTAATATATGTTGCAATGTTTTAAAATAGTTTAAATTTTTATTGCAGTTAAGTTCTATCTCATTTGCTTGTCTTAAATTTTAAGTTTAAAATCTTTCAACTTCACATTTAATATTAGGAAGAATTTTCTAGAAATAAAAAATTTTCTTGATGGAATTGCATATGTGAATTTGGATTTCGGATGATAATAAAAAAGATCGACACTTTCTGTTTTTTACGATTGAAATGCAGATCCTATTTTTCCTGGTGAACCTAAGAAGATTCACTGTAACTTGTCACAGTATTTACCAGCTTGTAGAATTGCTATGTTTTCATAGTTAATAAGGCTTTTACTGGTTAATTTTATAATATTTTGTGGTATGTTCACATATACATATAATATGGTAACTAGAATCAAATATATAATTAATTTAACATTTTAGATACAAAAAACATTTTAAGAAAAATAATTTAATAATTTAGTGTGTTGGTTATTTAAAATTATTTATTTTATACAAAGGGTTAAGTAGATATTTGACATTATGGTTATAAATTTTGTTTTAACTACATCTAAAAAAATTAGCCAATTTTAATTTGATACATCATGTTTTTGTTTTTACTTTTTCCCCTCTGTTTATGCATCAAATTACACTGTATACTAAGGGCTTCACATTAATTCTAACCCAATAGCCCAGGACAAGTATGAAATGCATTTCGATGAGTTATTGATGTGACACACTAGTTTGATGGGGCACGTTGGCTGAACCGTATGGACTGGTGGTGGAAGGGGGGGTCACTGATATCCCTTGATTTTTCTTCCCACAGTAGAAGTAGTTAACCAAATTGCATTAAACTTAACATAAATGTACAAAATAGTATCTAGTTTTGGCTTTAAAGAATTTGTTTAATTTCATGTAGTTTTTCTATAATTTTTGATGTGAAATTTTAAAAACTATATGAGACACTTATTTGAAAAACCCCATTAAAATCACTTTCTTCCATCTTAGAATTTCTCTCCTTTGTTGTTGTTGTTCATTGGAAAGTTCTATGTACTTCTTTTGAAACTGTTTTCCCAATTGCAGTAGTCACCACTTCAGACTGTAACTTGTAAAAAATACCACATAAAAATGGCAAAGATTTATCAGTGACCTAAGACCTAACCTTTCAAAATGTTGCCATGTCGGGCTAGGTAACACTATTTTTGCTAACAATATTCAAACATATGTGAGTTTTACAATATTTCTGAAAGTAAACATACAGTGACAATAAGAAATCATGTTGTTTCAGGGGTATCTTAAGCAGTGTACATACTGTTTTATATGGAAAAAATTCTGTGTGCCTAGCCCTGTGCTAGTAGTTTAAAAAATTAATGTAGAGCCTGGCACCTGATTAATTTTAGTTGATGTGCAAAGTTTTATTGAACACACTAAATTTAATTTGCACTCTTTCTTATGTCAGGAATACAAGAGGAACAGCTTACTGGAACCAAATATGCCCAGTATAATAGAAAAAGAAAAACACTTGAAGATCTTTTTCGCCCACCACTAGATCTCATACATAGAGGATCTTTTGAATCTGTAAGCAAGTAAACTCGTTTTTCATTTTTTATTATATTATGTATAATAATGTATGTGTAAATTCATCAATATTTATTTCAAGTTAATATCTGAAAGTGTTGTGTTATCTTAACATCATTAGCCTTAACAAGCACTGCATATACTTACAGATGCTATAGGCCTAACAAAATGTATGAAACCAATATCAGTAATGTGTCTAGTAGTTCCTGGTGTTTTTATTTTAGGTAATATTAGAAGTCAGACTTTCAAAGTCAAAGGTGTTAGAATCATTTTTTGTTATTTTTCTAAAAAAAGACTGAAGTTCTTGCTATAGCTGTAGGTTGTAGACTTAGAAATTTAAGATTACTGATGAGTTAAGTTTGTTCAGGCTGTTAGCAAAACTTAAATATGTGTCTTAATGGTAAACTTGAGGGTTTATAATGTTAAATTTCAGGGTTTGATCTTTGTGGTGAGTATAGTACAGATAGCCCACTGTGTTGTTTTATATTTAACAACAAACAAATATCTTAGAGATAAGTTCATTGTCTTAAAAATATAATTATAAATTTATCAAGAACATTTTTTTAAATGTATGATGTAACCTTTGGTTTATGGACAGATTTACATAGGATGTTAGGGATAGATTGAAAGAGTCACTATTTATTTGGAAAGGTTGATGAAGTTGTTTTAATAAATGGATGGAAGATATCATTTGTGAGTAAAACAAAAAACAAGTTAGGAGTTTATGACAGCAGAGTTTTAGAATGAGTTCTTACTTCCAATTTCTGACACTGAAGGTAAAAAGGAAAGGAATATACACTGATAGCAGTAACCTGGAGTTAGTCATTTTCTGATTTATGAGAAGTACAAAATTGTCTAAGGTTTAATTACTAAAAAGCTTATTGACTCTTTATAACATTACACTGTTTTTGATAGAATTTAACCTGTCAAGACAACTCTGGAATTAGTGGTTCACAGAATTATGAAAATTGAAGTATTTTCCCATATTTATGATACAAGGCACGTGACATGGGTAAACACACAAACAGGTGGCTGATGGTCAACATTCAAGATGTACAAGAGTTTCAATGTCAAGTTCTCAACAGGGATGTATGGAGTAGCCCAGCTGTGAAAAGTATTGTGTCTGAACATTTTATCTTTTGGCAGGTGAGAACTGAGAACCAGAGTTTGCACTGCTGTTAATTATTTATTTAAATAAGAATAAAATCCCATGAAAGATTTTATTTTTGTGTGTGTTCCAGAGATTCCAAATTGTTACATTAAATCTTTGCACTTGATTTTTTTTATCAACAAATAGTACTTCATTTAAAGACTGTCAAATTTATCACTTCCTAGAATTGTTCACAACAAAACACATTTTTTTCATTCAAAGTTTGGCTTTAATTGTAAGATGAAATTATACAATTTGAATAAACTGGGTGGGAATGATATCTAAAGACTGTGGGGTTATGTCACCTACCAATGAAAGTGGGAATTTTGAGTGTTTCGTTATACCAGAGATGGTTTTTATTTGAATTAAGTTTTTTTAATCATTTTACAATTTTACTAAACCTTTTAATAATTGTTCGTAGATGGTAGATAAACTGAAAAACAGCTTTCACTTGTTTGAATTTTTAAAATTCATGGTAATAATATTCATTAAGTAATGAAAATCAAAGTTCTTTCTAACATGTATATCAACTAGCATAATGTAACTACTGAAGTATCTGCCATGTTAAGAATAAAGCTAGATGAGAAAAAGTTCAGGATTACAAGTAAAATTACACGAATTACCAAATAGTGTGCAATTCAAAAAGTGTATAAAAATATAATTAGTTTCTGTAACTTAAAATATTTGTATATTATACTTAATCTAATTACCAGTTAAAATGTGGCACTAAAACTTTTGACAAGTACTGCTGTAAAGAAGAGGTTAAAATGGTTCAAGAGATAAATGTACCCCACGTTTGAGCTCATACTTTTTTATAGTTAAGACATATCTAAAGTTAAATGCTACAAGCATGATGTATCTTCAGTTCTAGTCATGCATTGGCCATTAACCTTGATAAGTTATGAGAACAATAAGATGATAACTTTCAAGAGATACTGTACTGTCTTCATAGTGGCACAAGAGTTAGGAAAACTGTAATGTTACATGACTATATGTAGCATGATGTATCTTCAGTTCTAGTCATGCATTGGCCATTAACTTTGATAAGTTATGAGAACAATAAGATGATAACTTTCAAGAGATACTGTACTGTCTTCATAGTGGCACAAGAGTTAGGAAAAACTGTAATGTTACATGACTATATATTTATTTCATTACTTAAAATCTTACAGAAGGCTATATTGTATAAATATATCCTTGATTTGCAGTCAGTATATAGTCTCAACTTTTGTATATCTTATGCCATACATCTGTTTAAAAGTTTTAAATTGCTAATCTTTCCTAAATAACTATTTTTATATTAATAGGTTTATCTGGATAGTGAAGAAGGAAGTTGGTATGCCCAGTTTTATAAAGTCAGCCAGTATCCTTATGTAGCCATTTTGGATCCTAGGACAGGTATTTAGAATAGAAATGGTTTAGTGCGTGTGAAACAAATTAAATTGATTTATAATTTTTTTTATATTTCTGTGAGTATAGTAATAAGTATCAAATTACTGTCTGTTAAATAAGCAATAGTTTGTGTGATTTAAGTAGATTTTAGACTAATTTCTTACATGTGTGTGCTGAGTCATTGATTTGAAATAATCTCAATCCTATGACATAATTATAAAATTTATTTGTGCATGTGTGTGTATCTTTTGGACACAAAATGGAATGATGTATGCATTCTGGTCCGTCAGTGGAACAATGGTAAGTTTATGGGCGTACAATGCTAAAATCCGAGGTTTGATTCCCTGCAGTGGATGCAGCAGATAGCCCAGTGTGGCTTTGCTCTTAAAAAAAACAAGTATATATATATTCTGTTTATGATTTCTCATCAAAGGTGGAGAGTTGTGGAGAATAATATCCAATGTTGAATAAAATTACCATTTCTGAAATTTTCTCCTAATTTGTGGAGTTTTTTTTATTGTTGATATTTTTCATTTCTTTGATAAATTTCATACTTGTACAAAGTTTTTAGGGAATTAACTGGTAAGTAAATGTTAAAATAATAAGAAAACGACAGTTTATTTTGAGTACTTTAGCATAAATGAGACTGATTACGGAGTATGTTTCATTTTTCTAATATTAAAATTAAGGGTGGGTAATTAAACATCAAGCTGCTAAACTGATTTCACAGAAAACTTGCTCATGTCAGGAGGGGAATATGCAAATCAATAATATTTAATGATGATTTTTGGCAGAAACCATGATTGCTATTTCAGAATATATATATATATATAAAAAAAGTTAACAGCTCAAGTATTGCATCTAAAAACTGAGTGTTAATCACGTAAAGACCATTAAAAGCAATGAAAAAGGATTCTTTGTAAGAATTGTTTGATCTAGCTAGTTTGTTTTGTATATTTTTTGCATTTCTGTATAGCTTTACTTTCTCAGTAGTGTAGGAAATCTCTTAAATGTGTGAGGGTAAAGAAATCAGTTTGAATAATGATCACTTCCCTTATACAATAATTTTTTGCTATTTCAGGTGTAACATCTATAGGATTTCTAATCTGTTTATGTAGATAATGAATTATGTAATATAATTAGTTGTAGCACATATATTATTACCTGTAAGTTTCAAGTAAGCATATTCGATAACGTATTTTATTATTTTGTGTTTCTTTTAAAGGAGAGAATTTAGTTGTATGGAATAAAGTAGATCCAATTTCATTTTGTGATTTGGGTAAGTACATACTATTTTCAAAGCTTGCTCTTTTTTTTTTTCTGTTTCTCTAAGTTTAGTTAAGTTGCTTGTTTTAAACCATCACATTTGCGTGCTTCTTTCAATCATTTAAATTTCATTTTATTGTACTTTTGTAATTTCTAATGAAATGTTTCTGCCAGATTCTTCTGACAATAAGCTTTCTCTCCAATCTCTGTTTTATTTAATTATTGTTAGGTGTATATTTGACTATCAAGATAGGATTGGATGCATATTTTGAAAAACAAAAAAATTTAATTAACAAATTACATGTATAAAATTGACTTTTCTGTTGTGTAAATAATGTGTTTGGTTATTATTGGAAAGTGTTAAATGTATAACCTTTGACATTTAGATGTCATATATATAAAAGAAACAGACAGGGATTTCACAACAAATAATTTCTAATTTAAAATAATTGGTTGTGTACATATGGTTTGTTAGTGTTGAAGCTATTTAATTTTATCCAAAACTTGTTTCAAAGAAACATTTTATAAGCTTTTCTAATACTAAAATGTAACAGCTGTGTTTTGTTTCTGTTTTTCTAAATATGCATCCACTATTTAATTATTTTTTTTATAATTAAGCTAAATTTATCAAGGATTACATTTAAAGTTTGGAATATCTTAGATTTTAACCTTGTGAAGCATTGCATCATTAATATAAACCAGGCTTAATTCGTTATTCTTTCTTCAACTAGTGACCAAATTTCTTTGTGAATATCCCACACCAGATGGTTCTGCTCCACGCCCACCTATAAAGAAATCCAAGAGTGTGAGTAATTACATCTGGTTTCTTTTCATTAATTTTGTTTGTTTTTTAATTTTGTGAATTTCAATAAATATTTTTTATTGATACACATTCACGTTTTTAATACCTTAATAAGTATTTACTGTAGAAGTTTCTATGGAAACACATTCATGTTTTTAATAACTTAATAAGTATTTACTGTAGAAGTTTCTATGGAAACATTTGTCTACTATTTATGTTTTTTTTTTGAGGATCTGTACTGGCAGGTCAGAATTTTATCTCCAAAAACAAAAAAAAAAGAAATGTACATCAGTAAGTAAATTTCATTAGACTTCTAAGATGAATAATCATTTTCAATTTTAAACTTCTTTTAAACAACATTGTTTCAATAGTTATAATAATAGAGATTAAAAAAAATATTTTCAAGATTTTTGAAATTATTAGGAAAATCTCAACAATCGTTGTATAATATAAACAAAAGATTACATAGTTATTAGTAAATGAGTGATTTCTGAAGCACTCACATTAAAAAATTTGCTGCTAAAGCCAACATTTGAATCTTCTATCCAATCAGGAATTTTCTTTTTATTATTTGTTATGATTTGAATATTGACAGAAGCTTCTTTGTTAGTATTTGCTTTATTTTGGATTTGACTGTTTGCAACTTTCACCTACCAATAGCATCAGGAAATGTTTTGGTTATCTTGTCAGGTTACTTAGAGTGTAACAATCTTGTAATAAAGTTCAATCTAAAACAATTGTTGTATCTAAAACATCCGTGAAACAATTCATTGCTTTGTTTTTTTATTATCTTTGAATAAAAGAATCCTACTAACCAATAAATCATGGTTTATGTCTATCAGGATAGAATACTGGACCAAAGTGAGGAGTCTCAGATGAAAGCAGCAATTCAGGCTTCACTAGAAAATATTTCAGATGTTTCAATTCTTCCTGAGCCTGAAATTGGTTCAGAAATAAATGATGATAGTGGCATAAAGACTTGCGACTTGCATTCTGAAAGTTTATTGTCAGAAAATAATAAAACAACATGGAATAAAAAAACAAGCACAGTAGAGCCAGATGATGTAAAAAATTTTACATGTGGAAGTATCTCAAAATCAGATAAAGAAGACACAAACCACAAGTTGAAAAAGAAAATGGGTGAAATTGAAATTACTGATGAAAGTGATCCATTAGAACAGTGGAAAGACTTCTTGGGTAGTGGTGATGGTATGTTTTTAACACTTTTTTTTTTAAATTAAAGGTTATATATTTTATAAATAAATAAAGAGTAATATTTGGAGAAATGTGAAGTATAAATCATTTATTGTTTTAATAAGTATAATATTTTTGCCTCCATATATTAATCCATTTTGATTATAAGTTCAATTTAAAAATCACAAGTTTTTGGGTTTAAAGTGAAGATAACAAGTGAAAATAATATTTTGTTTCAGATCCAGAATCAAAAATAATGTTACGGTTTCCTACTGGAGAGCGTCAACAGAAACAGTTTCCTTGTTCCTCTCAGTTACAGGTAAGAACGATAAAGATTTTTTGATAAAACAATAAATAGATACATTAAACTAAGCACTAAATATTAAAAAATTAAAATGATAATCTATTTATTAATTATTTCGTTAATATTGCTATTTGTTACTATTAATAATTAAGATGATTTTGTTTTGGCTCTGTTTCATTACAGGCTCTTGTTTCGTATGTGGCTGCACAAGGCTTTCCGAGAGAGAATTATGAATTAGTGACAAATTTTCCTCGTCGTAACCTCAGTGATTTGAAACCAAGTGAAACACTAAAAGATGTTGGACTGTTTCCTAGGGAGACCGTTTTTATTCAGCTAAAAACTACATGACAATCTGCACGTGCAACAGTTATTTGTAAACTAATATTAAAACCAGTTTAATCTTCCAAAGAGAATCCTCGCTAACAATCTTTCAAGGATTGATTGGAATGTAAGATGAAAACCAATTGCTGACATTCAGTAATGATTGCATAATTGCTCAAGTATCAGAATTAAGAATTTCCTGGAGGAAAATGTTATTTGATACTCACTGCCTATTGTAAAAATAGATCTAGCATTATAAAACAATAGTTTGAAACTGGTTATTGTTGTCACATTTTCTTTTTCTTGGACAAGTAAAATAAATTAGTCCTTTGTATTGTAGTTTATTCCTTTTTTTTCAGTTGTGACAAATAAAGAATTCATGGTAATTATTTCTGTAGTCTTTTCTAGTGACTTTAGAAATACTTAGGTATTCAAATTGTATACAGGATTATTGATTATATATTAAAAACCACCAAATTCTATTTTTCCTTACAGCATTTACAATACACTTGTACCTTATTTAGGTGGTGAATTTAAAGTAAAGTGGTTCCAAAAAAGAAGAGCCAATATACAGCAAAAAATAAGCAAGTCTGTGCAACCAGGGTTATTTCCACAGTGTAAAAGCTGTTCACATTCACAGATAGCATTTGAACTGGTTTTTGTATGTTGTTTTAAGCCATATATACATAGTTCAGAGCACATTGGTTTCCTCACATTAGAAAGATAAGAAACACTAAGCTATGAACACGAGATTCTGATGAACAGATATACAGATGGCCTATAAACAAAGAAAAAAAAAGAAATTATATCATTGTGAAATGCACACAGATGAAGGAATAAAAACGAGTGTTCAGTGATAAAAGTAGAAGTGAAATATACCAAAAACCAGGATAATTATTTTGTAAGAATAAAATACCAAGATATAAGCCATTCTCTAACAGAGTTTATGAGTCTCCTTCATTGAACTAAAGTTTTATGTTATGTAAAGGAGAAAAAAAAATGCTGTGGGACAAGGAGCTTTAATTTCAGGACAAACTTCCAGAGAATATTTCAATTATTCATGCAATGCCCAAGAAATTAAGAACAATGACTTGGTAAAGTATATTTTGCCAAATAAAAGTAGAATGCATGGTCCCCTTAATAGAAGATCCATTAGAATAGAAAGGAAGCCTTGCAGTAGTTATTCAGAAGAGAAGATATACTTTGGTTACAGCTCAGAAGAAAAAGTGGTTCTATTAATGGTCAAATTCGATGACGAGGAACCCACTTTGAGACTAATAATGGCTGGAGATGGCTTGAATGGGTAATGAAGAAAAACTTTAATATAAGTTTAACATAACAGCAAATGCACAACGTTTCGGCAAGGTTTTGTCATCATCAATGGTCAGTTAAATAGTAAATGCGTGGAATTGGATCAACAGAATGAAAGTGACATGACTGAACATTTTTTATTAAAAGGGGAAAAATATAAATAAAGACCTGAAGATTAAGTAAGAAACTGTGAAGAATTTAGGCAATGCAAAGAGACCTTTTAGTAAAGTAATAACAAATGAGAAAAGGCAAGACAAAGAATATATTTTGCACTAACACGAAAAATAGGTTTAATATGTAGTGAATAAACAAGAAAGGTACTAAAACAAACCAAAAATGGTACTACTTAACATTTTACTTGTAAAGTCCAAAGTTTAAACCTTTGCCCATATAATGATGGAAGTAACTAAAGGTTCAAACAACAATTAGTAGCTCTTTCTGAGCTGTACAATATCTCATTCCAATCTTCAATAGATCTGTAGCCACTCCACTTCTACTGTGTCTTAGGAAACTTCTCCTGATGGAATAATTCACACTTTTTGGAATTCAGCTTAAGGTTTCTTTTTCCTTAACTGATCTAATACTTTCCTTAACCCATCATAAGCATTGTCAGAGGTATTACCCTGTGCAATTATGTCATTCAAGTATATGAGTATGACATTCCAAGGTAGCTTAGACAGAGCACACATCAAATGTTGAAATATAGTAGGTGCATTACATAAACCAAATGGTAGTACAACAAACTGTCACAATCCATTTTCTGCAGTAAAGGCTGTCTTTTTCTCTTCTTGTTTTGTCCATTTTGATCCATGTAGAACATCCGAAATAAGAGTCAATCCTTGAAAGTGAGTATGTATCCTGCTTTGTGACTTCATCAGGTTCCATTTACCTATGCAGAACCTTGTGGATCTATCCTCCTTTTTCACAAGTACAGTAGTCACTTTTTTGCTCCTTGATGGCTTCTGTCTCTTTGAAAGAATCAGCTTGTTTTGTTAGTGGAATCATTTGGTTAACTTATTGTGGCTGTATCTCCAGAATCAATCTTGCAAGATAATTTATTTGTTCTTAATCATGAGGTTCACTGTGGCAAGGATCAGCTGTAACAACCTCCACAGTTCTTGTGAGTGAGGTGGCACATTGCCCTTATTTAAGGATCTGACATTGAACTTCCTACGTCTTTCCTCAAAGGTGACTACTTCTGATCTCTTTGATGTGAAACTGTATCCAAAATTCACAGAATTTCTAATTGATCCTTCAAATAAATTCTAACTAGTTCTTATGAGGTTTAACTGGTCCACTCCAAGACTTTATATGTATAATATACACC